CTACTATGGACCCCACGCCAATTATTGATCGACCTGCCAGTGTCACAAATAAGGCATTAAAAATATGCTCATCTGACCGTAATTAAATGCCTAAAACCCCTGAGCTTTCGGGGGTTCAGCCCTTTGTACCCGTGGACACCACGCCTGCACTCAAATCGCTTTGAGTTACCTGACCCCCCCCCCCATACTTTAAAAATTGATTTGATGCAAGAACTGTATCATACTAAAAGTATTATCATGTTTTTAAACGACCATGACGACCGTCTGATTTTCTTGTGAAAACTTTACTTTGAAAAATGATTATCGAAATTCAGTATACAACTATACATGGCCAGAATAATCACAATCCAAGCCCAGGTTTCATACATCTATTCACGAAACTATGTTGAAATCGGGGCAATAATAGCAATTTCAAAGTGTTGTTTAGACTCTCCTCACACCACGGACAGACCTGGCTACTCCATGCTCACACACTCAGCTCCGACAGCACCCCCAACAGCAGCGCTCAGCTGCCGTGGCAATACACTGTGGACTCAAGGCAGTTTGCAACTGAACTGTCACGTGAAGGCGTACTATCACAGATCTATTTGCGCTATTCTTGTTGTGATTTCGATGTAGTTTTCATGAAAAGACCAATAAAACAGAAGCTTGGACTATGATTATGTTGGCATATAGATCACAGAATTTGTATAATTATTTTCAGAGTAAAGATTTTACGTGAAAATAGGTCCATGGTTTGCGCCAGTTGTCGCAATCGCCTCGACTCGAATCGACTGTACTGTGATGTGTGCATGTGTACGTGTGTGACCTGAGAGCGTGTAATACACGTACACTGTGGGCGCCTGGCCTAGCTAGAAAGACGCATAACACGGGTACGCTCAACCCGTTGAGCGTACATATTGGCTACATCCCATCACCCGGGTGAGTCGTCTGTTAATGTGTATTTCTCTTACATGCTACAAAGCGAATCCTATAGCAAGAGGCCTTACTCGGGATATGCCGCAGCCTTTACAATGAGACTTGTTACACCCGTTGACGCGAGTGGATTCTCGTCCATCGTGTGTCTCTTCGTCTCTCTTTTATAATTAGACAGAGGGCGGGTGCACGCCTTGCCGACTCGCTCTCGCGGGTTCGTCGCCTCCTCGCAATCCGCGACGCCCGCCGTGCTCTCGTCCGCCCGTCCTCCCCGGCCGCCCCGAAACCGCGTTTAACGGCGTGGACGTCGATCGCGGGGTCGACGTGGCACGCGGGTTACGGGAGCCAGGCCTCGTGAAATTGTGCCGCCCTCCCCGCGCCACGGCGGAGGCGGGCGGGGTCGGGGAAAGACGTTTTTGAGGAACCGTTTTGGCCCGTGTTGGACCCCCCGCGGCGATTTTGCGTATTAGTAATATAGAAGAGCCGGATGGGTGTAAGTCATACACTTATCACGGATTTAACGCCCTTCTGGCTGAAAACAGACAATATAATCTCTAAAAGGTTAAAGGGTGTCAACTCATTTTTCATAACACAAGTGCCCTTCTGGCTAAAAATAGACAATATAATCTGTTGAAAGCTAGAAGGGTGTAAACTCATACACTTATCACTGATTTAACGCCCTTCTGGCTAAAAACAGACAATATAATCTGTTGAAAGCTATAAAAGGGTGTAAACTCATATATATTACACTGAATTAGTGCCCTTCTGGCTAAAAAACAGACAATATAATCTGTTGAAAGCTATAAAAGGGTGTAAACTTATATACATAACACAGACTTAACGCCGTTCTGGATCTGAACAGATACTGCAATCCGAGAGCCAGAAAGGCATTATCTCTTTGTAAATTGCTATTGATGAACAGCCTTCAGACTCTCGGCAGACTTTATACTTGAGACGTGGTACAAAAGCAATATATTTAAGAGTGTTGCTAAATTTTTATGCTTTTTATATGGCATCTGTGAGTGGTTTATGAAGGGTTTTATTGATGAGGATGATTGGCTGTGGGATATCTTGCCCTTAATTGTATTTAGAATTTAACCTTTTAATCATAAATAGGAAGAAAAATATGAAATAGAAAGAGGGGGATAATATCATGATCAGTTGTGAAGGGCGTATGGAGGCACGTGCCCCCTAATCACATGGCAAAAAAAGAAAAAGAAAATAATTTGAGAGGGAAAAGGAGTAGACACCCCCTTCGAACTCTAAAGCCCTGTTCTCGGTCATAGTGCTCCTAATGCCTCAAAAGGACCCCCTCTAGTTTTCAGATGACTTTTACTGATTCAGAAATTGTAATCCCTCCGGTATCATTTTGTGCATCGCATTGTCATTAGTTGCAGCCATCACACAATATTAAACTCAGCTTGAAGTGGATGTTACAAAATTAATTATGAACATCGTCAATAATTCAGAATTGAAATTACAATTGTACGTGTATGCCTTCTGTAAATCATATTTTCCATTTTCTGTGAGCCAAATTCATAGAACCATCTTAAAAGCTTTCAGCTAATGCATGCCAAATCTTTTCTTCCGGCTTTTATTTATTCTAAGTTTTCATCCTTCTGACTGCGTTCTCTCGTTGAGTTCAACATCAATGATACTCCGGCTGATTCAGTCGGTGTCATATTACATACATGTCAATAAGAAAAGTACAGGTCAACATTATATTGCCTTTTCCCTCCTCCTGGTCAAGTACCCAAGCAATATATCTTTCTACATTGAGAATTACTCTTCCTACAACAACAACTAAAATCATCCCCAAAACGATACATTGTTCATATTTTTGTAGCTTTACTTCACCTTTTTTGTGGCTATTCTCCATTGGGGATTATTGGAAAGTGGGGCGGAAAATGACATTCTTGTAATTGCATTCCTGCCGAGTCGTGGCTTCGTGACAGAAGGATATGATATTTGAACAGAGCACACTCTCTAACCTGAGCGTTTTTCAATCAGAAACCTAACCGGCAGAACATTGCCGCTCTCCGGCCTTGTTCACACTTCATTTTTAGCGTAACCTCACAAAACTAGCTCTTCTATACTATGTTCACATTCAACAGTGTCACAGGGTTCAGATTTAATGTTTGCTTTAAAGACCATATCCGATGAAAATGCAACTTTGTATCAATATGAAAGTAGAAAAATAATATGAACAGAATGGCAAAACCTTAAAATAAACCGGACCAATAATAAGTAAGTTGTGAGTATTTGAAATATAGGATCACTACGTCTATGCAAATCTCAAATTGTCAGTAGATTGTGACTTCGCCGACGATAACTCTTCCGTTTTTTTTGTACAAAAATATAATTAATTTGTGTTTTTCTCCTAAGTGATTTCTCCCTTGGGGGCACTACTCGAGATATATTATGGAGAGCAATTAGTATAGTTCCTATATATGGAGAAAAGACCCTCCTGACTCAAACATTTTTGAAAAATTTGAATTTTAGTCATTTTGTGTGTTGGAAGGAATGGGAAACTTGTCTGCCATTATACTCACAACCATAGAGACGTATTACTGATTCGACCAATTTGAAGAGCCTGTAGCTATAGTGACTAGGCAAACTACTTTTAAAAAATTTGTAACTTTCTCAATTTTTGTCCGATTTCATTCAAACATTTACCAGTCTGCTTTCTTCTGGAGTAGTTTGCAATCAGGGTTAGATTTCTCTGCTAGTACGAATAGCTAAATATATTGTCCACATCTAGCATGTTCTTGAAAATATAGGAGAAAAAATATATTACATACTGATAAAGATTCAATACATACATCACTATTGAGACACACGGCCTAAGTGTTCCACGGAACCGTAAAATGAATCGAATTCTGCGAAAGCTTGAACTCCGGCCTCGGGCACGCACGCACGCACGCACGCATGCAGCGATACGGGATACGGAGAGACGACATTTTAATGGAATTCCTGCGATTCGTTCAATTCTCTCTCTCTCTCTCTCTCTCTCTTGGGAGCCAGAGAGCTAGCTAGACCTCAAAGATTTGAGCTGGAATTGAAGGTGGCGGATAAAGTTACCCACAATGGATGTTATAGAAGCCTACAGATAATAGGTCGCTTTCATTTAGCCAGCTCTGTTTTTGATTGCTCTATATCAGCATGGGGGTTGAAATGGCACCTTTCACACTATCTACTTGCTCCACATCACTAATGGAGTAATATTTCTATAAACGGTTCTTTTCTTAGTCCAAGTTGAATTTACACATTCTTTCTGTCTACATCTTTTACATTTGAGGAGGGGGTTCCTTATGAAACCTAATAAAAAAAGGAATAGTCGCATTTGTAAAGCGTTTAATACTACATTTTCTACGGACTGTACATTGTAATCATTATTACCCCGGTCAATGGATTCAGTTGCTAATCCGCACATGATAGTGCACACGCTCCGCTCCCTGGAAAGTATTCCGTTAGGCGCCATTTCTAGAAGCACTCACGTGCCAATCCAGTCACATTAATGCTTGTCTCCTACTTATTTGGCATACCTACATGTAATTAACTTGCCTTCAGCACACAACAAAATCATTGACCCCTTGACTGTGTAATATTTCAAAAATGTGCCCTCTCCCCCACCCCCTTTCTGAAATCCATGATCTTCCCCCAAGATCCTATTGTTTTCTGGCTCTCTGCAGACAATTGTTCATGTGCTACGATAATAAGCCAGTTCATAGCTGCATGCAGTCCGAGCATGAGCAGATTCATTGCAGACTAAATTATGAAATACACAGAGACAAAATACTGGATACGTGCTCTTGAAAGTTATGTAATCATTATTCATTTATGCACAAGCAGTGCACTCCATGATACACAGGTGGAAGTTTTCTTTGAAAAGGGGAAACAAAGACTATTTATGTAGCACCTCCATCACTGTAGGAGTGATTATTGCAAAATGTAAAGTGGGACCTCTTCATGTTTTGAAGATCTGTGGATATTCAGCGTCATTTGGGACATATGCTAACAGTGAACTGGTCAGTAACAGACTTCTAAACCCTTTGTTCATGTTTGTTTGTTTGTTTTTCTATCAGGAGCTGAATCTCCTCTCTTTGAGCCAGAGGAGGAGAATGAAGGGGACAAAGAACTCCAGCTCGATGTCCTCCTGCCTTTGGAGAAGAAGGGTGACGATGATGATGATGTCGATGGAGATGCCAGAGACGAAGGTGAGACGAAAAATATGAAAATTTATTGATTTATTCTTTCTTTAATAAGGCCTAAAAAAAAGATGTTGTATTGCCCTTTACGACCAACCCCAAAATCTTGAAATCTATGGTCGGCTTTTTAAAAAAGTTTTTTTCTTTTACTGTTTTTTAGAAAAAAAATGTATTAATGCATTCAAAACTGAAAAATATCAGCCCAAAGAGGGAGTAAAAAAATTTTTTGAAAAAGATTTCTGACCAAACGACCCATTTTTTGGCACTTAAAGGGCAATACATCTTTTTTTTAAAGGCCTAATGGTGTCACGGTCGTAGAGGTGTTTTGTTCTAGTTGACAAAAGGTGTGATGGCTGAGTGGTAGCTAGGGCAGTGGTCACGTTAGCAAAACATTCCATGTTTAAAAGGCAAGTCTATGTGCTTGTTCCCTTTGGTATGGCGTTAATCCTCATTACCAAGTCACTCCATTATGACATAATTTGTTACTGCAAGTATCCATTTTTAAAGCCTTAAAACTTTAAAACGCATACCTATTGTAAGTTACTGCGTGCAGACATGTATTACTGCATGTGTATAGGGAAAAGAAAAAAATATGGATTGAATTTATCTTGGCCATTGTAAACAGTGAACTTTGAAAATTTGGGGTTTCTGAAGAAGCAGTACATCGGAAGATACTGCCAGTTGTCATGGTTATCTTTGAGAGGAAGCAAGATACTTACATATAATTGCATGGATCAGATGCTTGAGGTATATAATTATAGGTGATCATATTCAATTTTGATCATCAATTTCATGGCTATGAGCTTCCAAAGGACTTTGTAAGTTCTTATCTCGGCTTATCAGCTATGGCAACCGATATCAGTGCGCAGTTCATTTCAAGGTGTACGAGGTACCTACTAATTAAACGTGGGTGGAGAGTGGCAAATGTAGATTAATGTCTTTCATATGAATTTCATTGAAATATAATCACTCTTTTTCTATCAGACCCCTATCTTCTGCAGCATTGTTTGAAGTACTCTAGCAAGTCATTCAGTTAAGTTAGACTAGACCGTTAGATTACTCTCAGTGAACCGTCTTTTGTCACAAACATCTTCTTCTTTTTTTGGGGGCCTAATTTCGGCACAAGATTAGGGCTATAATTTGTAATAGAAATCAGGTCGATTGAAGGAGATGTGACAATTCCTTTTTGTTTACGAGTCAACGATAATAACCTGAACGAGCGGGCGTAGCTCTTCATTTTTTTCTTCAAATAAAATATTTATTTAATTTTTCTCAAAGCATAAACAGTATAGCAAATGTACAAACTGATGGATAAAAACATTTGACAAAGAAAGGTACCATGAAAAACAAGATTCTAGAAGCAAGAAATGAAATAGACCTATCTTGTTGTGCATAGATTGTTTGTTCAAATTCATAATGATATTCTAATTTCTTTTGGAACCATGGAAATGATAAAGATCCTTTCAAACATCCAGTTGAAAATATTTAATACTTGCATACAAAATTAAAAGAGGAATAATTCCACCTGGGTTATTAAGACTATATTATTAAATGTTGTCTTACTTTCATTTTCGAGGACACATTTGTTAAAATCTTCTAAGAATCGAGGAGTTAAAGGGCATTCCCCCCAAAATAAATGTTTAATAGATTCAATGTCTTCTGAACAAAATATACATGAATCAGAATGGAGCGTTGAACGGTACCCCCTACCAACTCCCTATACTCACCATCTCATAGCGCTCACAACTCAGATGATTCAACGGTACCGAAATATCACCCATGGAAACAAACACCTGCTTACGTATGGGTTACTGACCAAATTCAAAGAAACTACCCCATTGGTCGAAAGAAATTTACGCTGCATCGCTCACCGTTATGAAGATGGCCGAACACACATGAACAACAAGTGCGTAGTGAATGATTTTAATAAGCTTGTGTGGTACGGGGCGGGATTTCTGGAATCGATTAACATGTATAGTTGGTGGAAAATAAGCATGGCTGGATAATTAGAATATTATCAATTTCAAACACTATGTTTTCATCAACAATGTCCTTCAAATTACATCGAAAATCCACATTCCGTTTGCAGTTTAAATTGTTTATTATTATTTTGTTTACATTTATATGTCCTTTTTCTTTTTGATATTAGATTTGTGTTTACTTATGTCCAATTTGTTAAATGTTTGATTTAGTAATTGCACACTTTTATTGAAGAAAGCGATAATATTTTCTTCAATGAAATATTATAGTCATGTTTGCAAGGCATACCAAATGTTAGCTTCTCAGTATTATTATATTATCCCTTAGTCCCCCAAAATATGATTTTGTTTTCGGCTCATATTTCTTGACCTTTGATACAATGTGCACTTTCACAGTAGAGTTATCGTCAATAGGGATGTTATGACTTTGTTTCACTGTTTTTGTGCCGTCGTAATACGTTGTGAACAAATTGATTTCCTAATGGTACATCGGTACATGCGCGTGCCCCACAGACCATGAAATGTTCATCAAATATTCATCATGAAACTTGGAAGTCGGCAAGTTGCAATTTTATTCAACAGGGTGAGAATATTAATACTTCCCTTGCGATATCATGTGATATAATACCCCAGCATGGAGAGCCAACAATCAATATGATATACTGAAATAGATGAATTTCACCCGAGTATTCGGAAAATGGTCAAAAGAGGGCTAATTATGCCCGCTGGTCTCTCATGTTGCGCTAGCGCATGGCCACATGGTGAAAATTTGGATTTGCGGAGGGTAAAATTGAATTGGTATCGCTTGGCTTGCCAGGCATAGTGGATCCATTGATTTGCTCACTGGGCTATGTGCATATCAAATTACCCCGACTATCATCGGGTGAGGGGGGGGGGGGGTAAGCTCCTGGCCTGCTCCTGAGCATGGCAAATGATGTTATAATGAGGGCTAAGGATTGAAATGATTTTGGCTAGCCCCTTGACTGTCTTTATTCCTTTCTCCTAGATTATGTATCCCCACTAACCCTGTCTCCCACCCGTCTTTAAACTCTCCACTCTTGAATATTCTCTCTCTCCTTTTTTTGGTCTTTCTGTCTCTCCCCACCATTCCCTGTTTCCCTGCTCCTCCCTTTTTTTCAATTTTCAATTTTAAATCTTTAGATAGATAAATAATTGATAGAAAGAAAAAAAACATCATCGCATCAAAGCCGACTTTGCCATGATTTTACAGCGATAGAGTCCATACAAAATAGGTAATCAGCATGGAAAAAAATAACAAATAACAAATTATAGTGAACAATTGTAGGAGTTCATACGAAACAGGTAATCAGCGATTGAAAAAATTACCAAGTACCACATTGTAATAAAAAATGGTAGAGTTCATGAAAAACAGGTAATCAGCATTGAATTTTTTTTTTTTTTTTAAATTATAGGAGTTCATACGAAACAGGTAATCAGCGATTGAAAAAAGTAACAAGTAACAAATTGTAATAAAACATAGTAGAGTTCATTAAAAATAGGTAAGCGGCATTGAAAAAAATAACAAGTAACAAATTATAGTGAACAATAGTAAGAGTTCATACAAAACAGGTACTAGTAATCAGCATTGAAAAAAGTTACAAATTGTAATAACAAATGGTAGAGTTCATACAAAACAGGGAATCAGCATTGAAAAATATAACACAGAGTTATCAACAAATAATTTTTTTCTATTATATCATCTCAATTTGTTTTGTATAAACTAATATGAAATTTGACAAATGATTCCCCCGCCCTGTCTTCCTCTCTCTCTCTTCCTCCCCCTCTATCTCATTATCTTGCACTCTCTCTCTCTCTCTCTCTCTCTCTCTCTCTCTCTCTTTCTCTTTTACTTTCTCACTCTCACTCCTCCTTTCTTCTTGTATCCATCCCTCTATCCTGTCTCCTACATTCTCTCCCCTTCCTCATTCTCTCTCCTCCTCTCTCCTCCTCTCTCCTCCTCTCTCCTAAGCCAAATATCTTCAACAAGTTTCTATGTTTTGCATGTATACCATAATAGAAGGTCCAAATTGTTAAAAAAGTAAGGTGAATTCTTTTTGGAAATAATATACTATATACTTTGTTTGATCAAAACTTTTATCATTTTTGTTACACATCTTTTCCTATAGTTATACAATATGTATTTACTAACTTTATGCTTTCCATGTATCGTTACTCTCCAGAACTTGTAGATGTTGGTGACAAGGATATGCACGAAGGAGAGAACGAAGAGGAAGAGGAAGATGAGAAAGAGGAGAACAAGGAGCCTGAGTACTCAGGGTTCATTTTCATCACATTCAAAGAAGAGTAAGTTGAACGTTTCTCATCCTTTTTTCCCCCTCCCATTATTGCAGCAGCCGTGGAGCCAATAGGGAAGGCATGCATGCACATGATAACCCCCCTGTCCAAGCCAAATATGCCATAATAATAATAATATGAACACTTATAATGCGCCGGTCTTCATCACAATAGTGATGCTCATGGCGCAGGTTTAAATAAAATAATCATAACTAGATTTAAAATGCAGTCAACAATTATATTTACAGACAATGAACACAGCTACCATACAAAAATGAAAAGAATATAATCATTCTGAACATAGAGGGGGTAATTTTGATGCATACTAGAGTGAAAATACCCCCACCGCTCTCTCTCTCTTGGCTTTTACATTTTTGTATACCTTGTCAGCACTGTTTGAGACTAAACTAAACCCCTTTCCCAGTCGAAAAAACCCTGGATCTACCGTTAAAATAGATTCAATTATCTTCCATTTGTATGACTCATAGACAAAGTTTACATTTTCTCACTTCCCTCTTGCGTTACAAAAGAATCAACACATTCTAAATGAGGTTTCTTTTTTATAAATTCTGTCATCAGAGATTTTTCAGAAGTCACCTTTTGACATCAATGGTATAGTGCACTTACCCCCTCTCTGTTCAGAATGAGTATATTCTTCTCATTTTTATGCCTCCGTTACGAAGTAGCCGGAGGCATTATGTTTTCGGGTTGTCCGTCCGTCCGTCCGTACGTCCGTACGTCCGTACGTCCGTACGTCCGTCCGTCCGTACGTCCCGTTCTCGTGATCGCGTTATCTGAAGAACCGATTGATGGATTCCTGCCAAACTTTGGTCATGTATGTATCTTGCAGAGCCGATGAACTGATTAGATTTTGGGGTCACAAGGTCAAAGGTCAAAGGTCACAATGCTCATTATGTATGCAAAAACAGCTCGTGATCGCGTTATCTGAAGAACCGATTGATGGATTCCTGCCAAACTTTGGTCATGTATGTATCTTACAAAGCCGATGAACTGATTAGATTTTGGGGTCACAAGGTCAAATGTCAAAGGTCACAGGGCTCATTATGTATGCAAAAACAGCTCGTGATCGCGTTATCTGAAGAACCGATTGATGGATTCCTGCCAAACTTTGGTCATGTATGTATCTTACAGAGCCGATGAACTGATTAGATTTTGGGGTCATGAGGTCAAAGGTCACAGGGCTTATTATGTATGCAAAAACAGCTCGTGATCGCGTTATCTGAAGAACCGATTGATGGATTTCTGCCAAACTTAGGTCATGTTTGTTACTTGCAGAGCCGATGAACTGATTAGATTTTGGGGTCATCAGGTCAAGGTCAAAGGTCATGCGGCTTATTATGTATTGAAAAATAGCTTGTGATCGCATTATCATTAGAACAGATTGATGGATTCCTGCCAAACTTAGTTTATGTATGTATCTTGCAGAGCCAATGAACTGAGTAGATTCTTGGGTCATGAGGTCATAGGTCAAAGGTCATGGGCTCATAATGTATGCAAAAATAGCTTGTGAACGCATTCTCATTAGAACTGACAGAGGGATTACTATTTAACTCGGGACATCTTGCAGAGCCAATGAGCTGAGTAGATTTTAGGGTCATGAGGTCAAAGATCAAAGGGTCATATATGTATATGAGAAATTGCTTGTAATCACGATATTCTGAGAACCTGTTAATGGATTACAATTGAACTTGAATTTGACAAATTTCTTCTGTTTTGGTTTGTAAAATTGCTCTATGACGGAGGCATCATTTCGACTGCGCGCAGTTGAAGTTCCATCTAGTTGTGTATGGTAGCAGTGTCCATCTTTCTGAAAATGAAATTGTTGACTGCATTTTAAATCAAATTATGATTATTTCATTTAAACCTCTGCATCAATATTTGTCTATAATATGAGGATAATAATAACACTGTCTCTTTGTTTATTTCGTATTTACTGTGCTGGTTTATCCTATAACCACAAGAATAACATCTAAAATGTATCACTGGAAAGATTTCACTAGTCTCACTTTGAAATATTGGGAGAGTTAAATTTACTTTACAAACTATGTTTAATAATAATGATAATAGCGCTTAGAGACTTAGATGGAAAATGCTTCATAAGCACCATTTTATAATCATTATTATTATCATTTAAAAGTCATGAACCAAACTAATATTCAGATGATGCTTGCTACAAATCATATTGGTCATGGAGAGCTGTTTTCAGACAATATGATCAGCACTTGCATTTAAAGAAATGGGGCTTTGTTAAACTACCCCCTCTTTTGTTGAAAGTATGTGAAGTGATGGTACTCAAAGTTAGCATCTGTGGATTATGGCATTAGCAAGCACACCCTTGTTTGTATTCTTGTTTGATGAGGATTGTATTACACAATTCAAGCTTCATGTTTTTATGGTTTTTGTGAGTGTAAATTGTGGGATTTATATGGATGATGGTGAAAATGATGATGATGATGATGGTAGTGATGATGATGGTGGTAGTGGTGGTGGTGATGATGGTGGTAGTGGTGGTGGTGGTGGTGATGATGGTGATGCTGTTGGTTAGGAGGATGATGGTGATGATGATGATGATGATGATGATGATGATGGTGGTGGTGGTGGTGATGGTGATGCTGTTGGTTAGGAGGATGATGGTGATGATGATGATGATGATGATGATGATGGTGGTGGTGGTGGTGATGATGGTGATGCTGTTGGTTAGGAGGATGATGGTGATGATGATGATGGTGATGATGATGATGATGATGATGATGATGATGATGATGATGATGATGATGGGGATGATGATGATGGTGGTGGTGGTGGTGATGGTGGTGGTGGTGGTTATGATGATGATGGTGATGGTTGTGATGGTGATGGTAATAATGTTGGAGAGGAGTAGGAGAAAAACAAAGGAGGGGGTAGTAGTGCTCTTGATGGCAGTGCCATTGATTTGGAGAGTTCGGCCAACTTGGTTCGCTGGGTCACAACATGGCGTATATTCTTTTGTTTTGTGCTTGCCCAACAAAGCAGTAGTCGCCATATTGTGACCAACTCGAACCGGGTTAGCCAAACTCTGTATATAGATGGCTCTGCTTGATGGGAGATTCAGTCGTATCAGATGAATGTATAATTCATCTGTTGAGAGCCAGTAAGGAGTTCACTCACGCATCTACTTTAAAAATAGGGTTATATAACGCCGTCATGGCTGCCAACAGACAAATTGAATCAAAGCAATTTAAGGTAAGAATAATACAAACCATGAAATTGAAATTCCATCATGTGGTGCCATTTTGCCTTGTTATACAATTGAAAAAAATCTTGCATGAACTTTGAATGTTGTTGACGTGGCAAAGAGCAGTTGTTTGTGGATAGAGAGGGAGACGGGGGGGGGGGGGGGGGGGGGGGGGGGGGATGATGTCAGAAAACACAGGGTTTTATTATAGATTGACTATGTGATTGATGGGGTAATGTGTCGTGGGCTCTCTGAGCTAACAACAGTCAGTGGTTTGATTGATCTGTTGTCATGGTTAATGTATGGGAGAGAGAGAGAGAGAGAGAGAGAGAGAGAGAGAGAGAGAGAGAGAGAGAGAGAGAGAAGAGGGAGAGAGAGAGAGAGAAAGAGAGAGAGAGAGAGGGGGGGGGGGAGGGGGATGAAAAAAGGGTTTGTTGATGACAAAGCAAGAGGAGTTGATGATGTATATAGAAGATAGGAGGATAGAGGTGGGATGAAGATATAGATATATATATATATATAGAGAGAGAGAGAGAGAGAGAGAGAGAGAGAGAGAGAGAGAGAGAGAGAGAGAGAGAGAGAGAGAGGGGAGTGAGGAAGAGAGAGAGAGAGAAAGAGATAGAAAGAGAGAGAGGGGGGGGGGGGGGGGACAGAAAGGGAAGGGGGAGGAGAAAGCAAGGAAGAGAGAGAAAAGTACCGACAAGAAACAAGGTCTCCCTGACTTGAAATGATCGACAGTTCACTTCTTTCCCTTGCCATTAAAATGACACAAATTATTGAAAAGTTGCGCTTGCAATTATCCAATAACAATTTATATCTTCGATATGAACAGCAGCATGACCCAGAAAGGAAACATTACCGCACATCAGTATGTGCATACAGGTATGATGAAATTCTCTCGCTTCCCGCATGAATGCAAATGCATGGGAATGTGGGTTTTGAGGTCTAGTTGCGATGATGATTAAAGCAGTTAATTCTGATTCTATTTTTACATTTTCTCCCGGAATCTGGAGCATGAAAGTGAAAAATAAAAATGTGCATTTTTCCGAGGTAATCATGGAATTCTATTAGGCCCTGGAGGTTTTTGAATGATTCTTTTTTTTACATGATTTTGGAATGGCAAGGTGGAAAATTGTAAATTACCATATGAACCCTGATGATTTTTTAAAGGTACTGTTGATTTATCATAAGCTGACATTATGTTAGAAACAAGTAGAGAGTCTTTCCACTCTTGAAAAACTCAATATTTGACTCATTCAACTCTTCTGTAAATTTAATGGCACAAAGGAATACTCCCTAAAGATCAAAATAACCAGAATTCATGTTGGAATTATACAAAAATGTGGTATTGGGTAATCATCCATTTTGTGCCAGAAGGGAATTTCTTAAATACGGATGCAACGCCTTACTGGTTCTGAGCGGATGTCAATAAGACCACAAGTAAAAATGGGAAATTGTCTTTTTTTGTAATTGATTTTGAACACACCAAGGCAGACTTCATGAAGATTTTCGCCTTTTTACAATACCTTTGCCAAATCTGTACACTCTGCAGAAAAAAAGAGACATTTGAAAAGGTTAAACACCGTGTAAGGACATTGTTTGCGGTGTTGTTCCTACATGCATTTCCAGGCAAAGGAGGTATGGGGTAAGATGTTGTTAGGAGAATGTGGTATTGAGTATATGCCAGGAAGGCCAGCAATCAATATTTGCATGGCGGAACTTAGCGGAAGTGTTTGGCAATCTAATTTAGGGAAGGACGAAAAGGGAAAGCCAAGATGCCTGTGTGCACTTCTATAGCCTCGGTTTGGTGATTGCGGTAGCACCGGGGTTGGTTGGTTGGTTCTCGCAGCCAAGGATGTATTTTTTTATGAGATGTTTGGTGTTTAATGTGCTACCAGTATTATAAATTTTCATCAAAATGGTTGTTCAAGTCATAGCAACATCATTTTCATAACATAAAAACAAAACAAAAACAAAATCAGGAACAAAACACAACCAACCAAATGCGAAATGAAAATGTTGTTTGACAATTATAGAAAAGTGCATATGTGGTTTACAATATTGCCTATATCTGTTTTGGTTATACACCCACTTTCTAACGAAGTCAAGTGAGACCTTGTCATGATTATGATGCTAAGAAATAGCCAATAGTACCGGACACTTTCAGCAAAGAAAAGAAAAAAAACACGTCCAATACCTTAAAATTGGATTTGAATTATGAATATCATAAATATATTTATTTATTTCATTGAGTGGTATCTCTGATGACATAACTGAAGTTTTTTTGGGGGGTCACGATCAAAGATTAATGTTGTATTATTGTGAAGGTCCATATTCTCTTGGGATTTGAGATTTGATTTGAGATATGAAAATTGCTTGGAGCGAAGCTTTCATTAAGTGTTTGCTGTATGGCATTTGGTAGCCATTTGGTGTAAGATATTAATTTGCAATAAATGTATTTTTTTAGAGGGAAATGCTGAGAGCAGTTTCTATAGAACATGTAGTTTAGTGAGCTATAAAATTGATTACTGAACTGCTATCTGTTTGGGTTTGATTGGTGTTTGTCTATCTAATTCTCAATCTCTTAAGGGCTAGCTAGTTAGATAGATAATTTGGTGAATGATCTTTCTAAGAAAATGTATATATTAATATTCTTTGTAAAGAGTAACTTACGATCTATCATTTCATACTTTACTTGAGACCTATTTTTCCTCCATATTTTCAACAAAATTTCATGTCTTCCAATTATGATCTTCACAGTATTTTAATCAAACATTCATCTTTTCCCCTTGGGCCATCTCATTATTGATATGTGGTTCACCTTTGATATGGCGACTAGATATTGATGCTCTACAAAATCCCTATCTATCTTTCTATCTATCTTTCTGTTTCTCCATCTATCTACTCTTCCCCTCCAAATTCTTCCTCGATATCCCCCCTCCCTCCTTTCCTCCCACTTGTTCCCCCATCCATTTCCTCACTGTCACATCAAGGCCCATCATAAACGAAATCCCCCACTAAATCCTCACAGACAGCCGTCCCCCTGATCAATACTTCTCACCGCCACGTTGACCAGCTGTGCGTCCTACCAAAATACCTACCCCTCTGCAAATTTATCGATCGCTTTACCCAATTACTGATTTCTTTCCCCCTCCCCATTCTATTCATCACTCCCCCTCTCTTCATCCTGTTTGATAAACGACACCTGTTGCCTCAGCAAATCTGCTTTATCGATGCAACTCGCAATTGGCAACAGCTTGCTGTACACTCTTGCTCTTTTGTCTTTTGTTGAAATTTCATGACTGAAAATAAAGCAAAGACCGTATTAGTAAAATATTTGATAGTAAATCTGCTTTGCTTAGACAAGCAAATTACGACAGTCGCCTTTGAGCATTATGGGTAGGCCTGTATGGTCACTACGTAAAGCTCTATAGAATTTGTAGCGGTATTAGAGTAAGTAGAATAACTTACTGTTTTCAACTTAATGTGATATCTTTCACACAAAAATATAATACTTGTACCAATGCTAGCAATCTGAAATACTGTCTGTTTAGGGCACAGATTGCCTTAACTGTTAATAGAAGCTTTTTAAATGGAGTTAACAACCTTCTAGCACTCAACAGATTATATTTAGTCCAATTAGATTTTTTTAAATTATATAATATATATAGGATTTGATATGATGTAATATGTCAAATCACTAATTATCTTGTCTTTTTTTTCAGGATTAGTAAGGATGATGCTGATGGAAAAAAAAGATTATCCTTTTATAGAATTTATATAATTCAATGTTATAATATCTAAAATATACTAACTCTCTTTAATTTTGTTTTCAGCATAACTGAGGAGGATGCCGATGAAATTGTAGCATTACTGGTCAGTCTGCTGGAACTGCCTCCTTCTATCTTCTCTGATATTAAGTAAGTAGGCTTATTTTATTACTTATTCCATTTTTTATTAATTAGTGTATTCTTTCGATTTGATTATGTATTCTACTTTTCACTGTGGGAGAAACATCATATTTGGCTCAATTTTCTTTAAGTTGTGGAAAGTTCAAGTGTATCAATCACATAAAAAAAAATCATTTGTGTATAGACAGTGTCGCAAGAATGTATAAAATCAGCTTTAAAAAAACATGAGTATGAAGAAAATAGATAATGACATGAAATTATTTGCAACATTATGTTCATTACATGATTTGCAATTTAATTATGAAATCAAGAAAAGAACTAGAACCAGAAAATTGCACATAAGTCATATTTGGCGCTGTGTAACTTTTCGTGAGAGAGTGCAAGTGGTTTAGTGGATAATTCTCCAGACTGTGGGCCACAAGAAATGGGGTTCAAATCTCGCCATTGTACTAATGTCCTCAGGCAAGACATTAGTATACATTTGCCACACTCGACCCAGGTGTAGTAAGTGGGTATCTGGTAGGATTCATTCCTTGAATGTATTGAGCGCTAAGGTTGCCGGAGCTAAATTGTTGATAATAATCCTTTGGAAGCGCATAGAGATGTTTTATGATAATGTGCTATACACTATACAAGAACAGCATATTATAGTATAACTATTATTATTATGTAAACAGAAACAGATGGGGCATCTGAAGGAGGAAGAATAGTTTTTTTGTCAAACTTTTTAAAAAATAAATAGGGTTTACATGTATTTTTTTCCATGTATGAATAATAACAGCAGAGACATGCACTCTTGTGAGCTCCAAAGGACATCTGAACATAATTGCAAAAACATTCAAAAAATCAACCTTAGGCAATTTCAATTGTATTGTGCTTTACCTGTTGAAGCATCTTGACATAGTGACCTATTACCCGAAGAAACAAATTTATTAGCAATAAAATAAGGGAAGCGATACTTTGCTCAAGTCTGGAAATTCATTGTAGTCTTATCCCATGAATAAATATTGCCCATAAAAAAAAGTTGAAGGAGTGTTGAAGAATTTAGTACTTGTAAGCCCCAAAAGAGCTTTCCCTTGAACAAAAGAGAGCCCTGGTTTAAACTAAAGAAAACTTGCTAAAATGAAGAAAAATATAGTGAAAGTGGTGAGATAGTCCATAAACTCCAAAGAGCACCAATAAATAAAAAAGGTTTTAAAACTTAATATTAGCAAATAAAATGTGTGCACTGATTAATATATGCAGAGATAATTATTTACAGTGTAAGTAGTTGATTGGTGTATTACTTCATCAAAGGGATTAGCTAGATTAAAATGTCCCCCACTGCAACATTTACAAATTAGTTGGAAAGCTTCTTTCCTAATTATATCCTCTTTTCTCGGCAAATACTGGAGCGAGCGGATTAAAGGCTTGTTATAAGTAGGTCATTCAAACTATCCGCACTCGATAACCGCCTGATTAGGCCTTCCATTAATCCACCTACCCTCCCCATCTGACCTGCTACGTACTCCCCTCTCGGCCTAATTTCTTGTGATGTCATCGCGGGTAACCATGGCGACATGCATCGATGGTGTGTCCGAGTCTTCCTGATGCGTATCCCCTCTGTCTTTGCGTCTCTCGATCGTGCAAGTGTGATGGAGGGATGGCATGGAGGGTGCTTTTGTTTCCACCTAAGATGTTTTCAAGAGGGGAGTGGGTAACTGATGTAGGATTCTTGTGATAACCACTGAGCTCTTCAAATACACGTAGATCTGATTAAAGGGATTGAGTATCTTTGTCTCAGATTCTAAACAGAATCCTGGATTTAGCTCAAGCTGCAATCATAATTATAAACCTGTAGGTCAGTCAGGAATCCCATGACGTTAACAAGCCGATCACCTGTCTGATTATCAAGATATTTATGATTGGAATTCAAAATTTTAAAAAACCATTTCCCCAACGGTTTTTATAACACTACAGTCTATTAGGGAAAATGAGTATGGTAAAACCAGTCATTCAAAGATTTTTTACTTTTTTGAGGCATTTCATGATCATTTTGAAGCGTAACTTTTTTAGGGCTTCAACATTACATCATATCACAGACACTGATAACACGTAGGGTCATGCATCTCAGTTTTAACATTGTTAAACGATGCCTTTAACATACATGTACATCTGATTAAGACAGCAATGTCAGAGAATAATGTAGTAGCAGGTTGTTGGTGTGTAGGTCTGTTTGATGTAGTCTCTCTTGCCATCTCCATCTCTTTTACTTTTCTCCCTCCCCTTCTCTCTTGCTCTCTTTCTCTTTCTCTCTAGCTCTCTCTCTCTCTCTCTCTCTTCCTCTCTCCTCTATCTGTCTCTCTTGCTCTCTTCACAATCTCTCATCTAAAGCTTATGGAAGGATGAAATTGAGGATGTTTTGTTCTGTCTATGATTCAAAAGACAGCTGCATATACATAATAAAGATTCTAGCAGATTGTGGGTGTTCAAGGCCTTCATCTCTCTCTACTTCTCTCTTGCTCTTTCTCTCTTGCTCTCTCTTTTTCTCTCTCTCTCTTGCTCTTTCTCTATTGCTCTCTTTTTCTCTCTCTCTTTCTCTTTCTTTCTTTCTCTCTCTTTCTATCTCTTTCCGTCCTTTTTTCTCTCTTTCTCTCTCTTTCTTTCTCTCTCTCTCTCTTTTCTATCTTTCTCTCTATTTCTCTTCCTTTCTCTCTCTCTCTCTCTCTCTCTCTCTCTCTGCATCTCTCCATCTCTCATCCAAAAGATGTTTGATGGGTGGCATTGAGAGTGCTTTTATTCCATCTAAGATGTCTTCAAGAGGGAGGGGACAACTCATGTAGGGTGTTAAAGATTCTGGTAACCATGTATAGATCTCATTAAGAAATACCAATAGCACATAATAATGATACTAGAAGGTTGTTTATGTTTAGGCCTTCTCTTTTTGTATTGTGCCATTTTGATTATTGAATTTTGTTTTGTGGATACGATGAAAGATGTGTTTAAAAATATTTGTTGACATTTAGACATGCAATTAAGCAAAAACTACATGTTGAATTGTCTGCTATATTCAATGATGGATTGCATTAAAATGCCATCGGCAGAAAGCGTTAATAAAGGAGGCCCTTTCTCCTTTCATAGCTGCTATTTTTTGTATAGCTTAGGGGGCCATGCAGTTCTCTCAGCGTCTGTGTGTGTTTTCTGCATTCTTTTTTTTCTTCTCTCATGTTATGTTACCTCCTGGATAAACAAATCTGCAGCCACTGACTATTTTCTGGAGATAAACATCACCCATCCCCCACTATTTGTTATTAGAGATTGGAAGGGTCGTTTAAGACAGTCCCCCAAGGAGAGGCTGGGCAGTATCCACCTAACAATATCACCTGCCTTCATCTTCTTTAATATGATGTGCTCCAAATGATAGATTTATTGATCCCAACTTTGCACGGTCTAACATTACCTGAAGCGGCGTCGCCGTTGTCCGGCGCCCGCCTCACACTTTAAACAAACCGGGCCAGATCGTAGCTCCTCTCGCAAACACCTCCATACCTCGGCGATCTTCCAAATGTCAAATTGTCTCCACGCTGGCAATTCATGCCGACCCCAATCTCCCCCGAATTCAATCAAATGTGACGGAAAGAAAATGAGAAGGTTTGGAATGGGAAGATGAGGATAAATTACGGGTAGCTGCTCATTAGTTTCGCCGGCTGTCTTCACTCTCTCAGAGGCAGTAATTGTTTGCCGTTAATATTTTCTCGGCCAAATATAATCACGGGGAAGGAAGAGCGAGAGGCCCCTTAGGAATCAGGAAAATTGCGGGATAGAGAGAGAGAAAGAGAAAGAGAGAGAAAATATGGTGAGGATACTGTTGCGAGTTTGGCCGGCTTCAAATGGCTCTTTTCAGGCTGGCTTGATAAAAGCATCTTGTGTATTTCAGCATCATTCTCTCTCTCTCACACACATGTTTTGATCCCCTGAGCATCTCGTACTGCTCAACATACACCCCTCCACACAGCATCCCATTTGCTACGTGCTGGGCTCCACGCACCCACGCACCCACTCACCCACTCACACACACACACCGAACCCACGATGATAAAGCCTCCTTTCCACAAGTACATGTGTAGTGTGGTACAAATGGCATCCCACATTGTCCTCTTGTTTTGCTTCGTTTGAATGCATCATCCGGATTTGGAGGTATTGTTTTCTTCATTGTCATCCAAGGTAACTGGATTTCAAACTAATCCCGGTAATCCTCTCGTCGGCCACCATGGGAGGGATAATTATGATGATTAATATAATCGCTGCGGAGAATTCCTGCCTGGATTAGAGCCCTCAGTTGTAGGTAAGAGGTTCGACGCAGGGAAACGGGGTCAGACGTGATGTTCCGGAATTGGCTGTTTTGCTGTCAAAAGTTCTGCAAGCCTCGGGCTGAGCGGAGATGGAGGAAAAGTTTGTAAAAGAAACGTGCTTGATTGCTCCATTTGTGGATGCTACTCTCTTCCATTAAACCAACCAAACATGATCAGCATTGTGAACTGCAGTGCATGTGGAAGACATAGCTTCAGTCTTTGAATTTTACTCTGAAAATAGCATGTTCTCAGCATTTACGGCTTGATTGTGCCCTCCTTTCTTTACATTTGTGTCTCAAAATCAATTAATTTGGATGTTTATCGTGACTTATAATGTTCCTGTGACATTAGTGCATGTTAAAGGGCATGATATAAATTGAATCACATGAACTGTGTGTGTAATTCAATAAGAGGGACAATGCCAGTGTGGTTGCCTCTTCACATTGGATCAGTGGATTACTCCATTTCAACAGTTTTTACTGTAAAAGGAAGCATAAATTGCAGCAAATGTATACATTCTCTTCTGAATTCAATTAATGATTTGCAAAATGCAATATATTAATGTTAATTGATTTCTGTGATTGATTTCTTGCCATAATTGTTAATATTGATTGTTCTGTTTGAAAATTTTGGCGTAATCATTATATTTCTGAGAGTTTTGTGAATATATGCCCCAGTATGCTTCTTTATAATCAGTGAAACAGATACTTGAATTGAAGATAAACTATAAATGTGTGTATATAAAAGAAACTAATATCTTGATTAAATTTCCAGGAATAAGTTGCATTTAAGAAATTATCTTTACAACAAAATAAACTATAAATGATTGTATATGAAAGAAGCCAATATCCTGATTAAATTTCCAGGAATATGAGTTGAATTTTAGAATATATCTTTACAAGAAAAACAATCAAATTTTCTCACCTTATCCAGTTGTCAAAATGTTATCTGTTAACACCCTTCTTCCTCTTAACAGATGATAACTGCTGCCTTTGAGCAGGATATATTTTATACAATATTAACACACCTGTCTTGTCTTTCTCTCTCTCTCTCTCTCTCTCTATTTCTCTGTCTCTTTCTCTAAATTTGTTGCCAATTTACAGAGTGAAGGACAAAGAGATCACCGTCCATGTTAATGATTCTTCACGTCACTTCACGCCCAAAGCCATCGCAATTAAAATAGGTAAGTCAATATTGAAATTCTTATCAAGTCTATTCGATTAATGTATTCAAGTCCCGGGCAATTCAGTACACTATCTTAAAGCCCCTCTAAAGTGTTGGGAGCTCCACATTCGCCAAAAATGTGAAGGTAAAATTCAACTTAAATTGTATCATTATGTGAAAGAGGATGTCATTTAGGACCAATTTCTGCAAAGATTTTGCCCCAAAAATGTGTTTGAAGACAAATTATGATAACAGAATACAAAATTTAGGTTTCCTGTTGTACACAGAAAACCAAAATTTTGTATTCTTTAATCAATGTTCAACTTCAATCACATTTGTTTTGAAAATCCTTGCCGAAATGTGTCTTAAATTACATCCTCTTTCACATTATGATACAATTTAAGTGAAATTTTGACATCAAATTGTTGGTTTCCAACACTTTAGAGGGGCATTAAGGAGTAACTCAGAGTTATGTGTCATGCAGGTGATGCCAGCTTGTAGTTCAAATGAATGCTTTCCCGCGGCTTTGAATACTTGTTGTTTCAGTCCTATGTGAACCTTTTTCATTGTTAGTAGATCATTGCTAATAACTTTGAAGTTTTGTAACTTAAAGTTTAAAACTATGACGGTCCCATGTGTACATTGCTATTGTTTCTTTGAATCTAGTGGATGGTTCAGTGGTAGTGGTACAGCAGTGGTCTCATAGCAGGGAGGTCCTGGGTTCAAAACCAAGTCGATGCCCTCGTGCCCTTTTGTAAGGCATTAATCCTCATTACCAAGTCTCTCAGAGAGAACTTAAATCTGTTGGTCCCCTTGTTGCTTACTTACAAGCATATGCTTTCTTAGCAGTCAGGTAAAACCAAGTCTATGCACTAGTGCCCTTTGGTAAGGCATTATTCCTCATTACCGAGTCCCTATGGAGAGGACTTGAATCCATTGGTCCCCTGGTTGCTTACTTGCAAGCATACCTATGCTTTCTAAGCAGTTATGTAAAACAAATAAACTAAAACAAACAAATCTAGAGTAGATAGGAACTCACTCTAAACTATCAGTAACGGATGGTATCAGGGTACGACGAGATTATTTATTTGAAAATATCTAAGAACTTATCAACATTTTGTCTACTACAGTGAAACCTGTCTAGAAAGACCACCCAAGGGAGACAACAAAAGTGGTCTTTATAGGCAGGTGGTCTTTATGTACAGGTTCCTTTAGTACATGTTTCAATGACAAACTATTTTCAAGGGAAACAAAATATGGGGTCTCTGTAGACAGGTGGTCACTAAAGCAGGTTTGACTGTATTATATAGGAGGTCTTTCTATACAGGTGGTCACTAAAGCAGGGTTGACTGTACTGTACAGGTGGTCTTTCTATACAGGTGGTCACTAAAGCAGGGTTGACTGTATTATATCTTGTTTAATGTATGCCATGAGAATCTGTCATGGCACTTGCTACTTATCTTAGGAAGATGTGAAGCTATTCTGCACTATTGAGAATCAATTAGTTAATCAATCAATCAATCACTTAATTGAATAGATGAATAAATAAATATATGAATAGATGAATAAAATATGAATGAATAAATTAATTTTAAAACAGAAATAATTAAATGAATGAATGAATAGATGAATACGTAAATAGATGAATAAATAAATACATAATTTGTATCTAATAAATTAATGGAGGAGAAAATGAATAACAAACTTACTGACTAAATGAATGAATAAATACATAGATGAATAACATATGAATGAATAAATGAATTAATGAATTGATTAATGAATGGATGGATAGATAAATTAATTAATACATGAGCAAAGAAATAAAATGAATAAATAGTTAAAGCAATCAATCACTCAAAAAATACAAGTAAATGAAAAAATAAATAGATAGATACACAAATACCAGTCCTATATATACATGTATGTATGTATATATGTAATTGACAGTATGCCGTAACGTAGCAATACATATGACAAGTCCTAATCAAGCTATGTGACATTGATTGCATAATTTATGCTATGTGTGTTGATGTCAGAAAAAAGTTCATGTCATTTTATCCGCCTAGCCGATTGGAAAAGGTTTTAGGGCACTGAAAGATAAATAATTAAAGGGTCTGCAACAATTTACAAAATCAAGTAGCCATCTTTGTTCTTAAAGACGCACATGAACCCTGTAATGGAGTGAGAAGTTTGATCTTTAAAGCCCCATTGCACTACTTATAGCTACTTGCGCCCTCTATATAGCAAACAATGCATAATCAGTGACCATTGGTCCCCCATGATCCCCCTTTTCTTATGTTAATTGAGAGCTGATTTGATGAGATAACCACCTGTCAGTGACCATGCAGGGAGGTCTAATCCCTCCTGGCCAAACTAGTGCAGACAGGCTTTATGCAGTGGTCTTTATGGACAGGTTCAAATGATTATTGAAGGGGAGAGAAGAGTCTTCATAGATAGCTGGTCTTTAATACAGGTGGTCACTAAAGCAGGTTTTCACTTAATGAAATTAAAGTAGTAAACACTCAAATAGGACAAAATGGTTCATAAATACTTGAAAACTGTATTTTTTCACCTAACAGTACTGTACCCTGAATATACTCTACAATGCAATTCATTTCATCTCGTTGTAACACTGATATGTAACTAAATTATCAGCTATATTTAGCCGATTGCCAAATATATGCTGCATGCCAGCGCCAGAAAGTTAACGTCATTCTAAATATTTATCTAGCCAGAGGGATCGGGCATGGACTTATAAAGATAGATGGTTATATTACCCACGACACTCCTCTTCAATCAAGTATGTACTTCGTCCTGGTATTTGGCTTTAACCCATCCAGTGCCAGGCCTGAGATAACTTTGGCTAGAGTCTATGGGATGTACATGTTGTACCGGGAGAGGGTGTATCCAATGGGTTAAGGGTATGAGATGAGTGATGGAAAGAGAAGGATTGAAAGGGAGGGAGAGAGGGCATGACAATTAGAGTAAGGAAAGAGGGAAAGTAGAATAGGTGGATTGATAGATGGATAAAAATAGTTGGTTGGTATTTAGATGAGTGGATAAATGTTTATATGGATAGATGGAAACCATTACGTGGAAAGATAGATGAGAAGGACATCATAGATAGACAGACAGGTACAGAAATGTTATTCAGTTAATCAGTTAGATAGACAAAAATAGAATATAGATTAATAGAAAGTTAAAAGGAAAAGATCAAGGAAAAAAAAGAAAATAGAAAGAAATCAAGAAGAAGAAGGAAGGGTAGAAGGGAAGAAAATAGATAAAGAGAGAGGGAGCAAGAAATAAGGGTACACAATTTGAAAGGCAGAGAGGAGAAGCGAGAAAACTAGGCATAGCAGTGACGGGAGCAACTGTAAAAAAAAAAAGCAAAGAATAAATTGAAATACCTGTTGCCATTGGCATTGGTCCTGATTTATTAATAAAACTTGTGGGATGGAAATCAAGATTGATGCTCAAGGCAAGGGATTACAGTTTTTCTTCTTTTCCAAAATTGCTTTTTGAGCTCAAGATTGCCTGATGCAAATTGGGGTCGAGAGAAAATAGGATATGAGGTGTAATAAATGTCATATATATCAGTAATAAATTTTCACATTCGTTTATTGTTGAAGTTTATGTGTTATGCTGTGGATATTATTGCTAAGCATTGCCAATTTGATGATGACATTTGAATTGAAATAAATTGGTGTTGGTTGATATCGCAAATTGAACGGATGGAGGAAGATCAATGATGATCATGAAAAGTTAAATCAGAAATGTCCGTCTGGCCCACGTATTATTCTCTCTCTCTCTCTCTATCTTTCTTTCTCTCTCGCCCTCTCTCTTTCTCCCTCTTTCTTTCTCTCTCCCTCTTTCTTTCTCTCTCTCTCACGCTCTCTCTCTCTCTCTCTCTCTCTCTTCACCCTACCACCCTCTCTGTGTCTCTCTTCCACTCTTCTCTCTTCCTGGCTGTAACTTCCCTCACATCTCTCTATGTCTCTCTATCTCTCTCCCTCCTTGACTCTCTATCTCCATCTTCCCTCCTTGCCCCTTCTTGTCTCATCTATCTTTGTCTTCCCCTCTTTATCTTTTCTTTCTCGTCTTCTCTCCTCATCTCTCTCTCTTTCTCTCTCTCTCTCTCTCTCTCTCTCTATCTCTCTCTCTCTCTCTCTTCTTTTTCGTCCTTTCTCCCCATCTCTCTCTCTCTCTCTTTCTCTTTTTCCCCTCCTCTTTCCCCTCCTCTTTCCCCTTCTCTCTTTCTCTCTCCTATCACTACCCCGTCACCCATCCTTTCCCTTGCAATCAGGATTATTTCCTGTAGTTGGCCTTAAGGTCGTAGTGATGTGCGACATTCATTTCCGGTTTCCACGTAGCGTCTCATCCATTCCAATGCTTGTTTTTCTTTCTACTTCACCATACCGAGCAAATTCTGACATATTCTGTCCGACTGCATGCGTAATGAAAGTAAACTGCACCAATTTTGTCTGTTTGTTTTTTCTCTCTGTCTCTATCTTAGCTCTGTAGAGTAGGCCCTACCTCTTACTCTTATCCTTTTAGACATTGATTAATTAAAAACCTTGCTGTAACCATGTATTTCTTTTTTTACTTCTACTTCTACTTCTATTCCTACTCCTACTCCTACTCCTACTCCTACTTCTACTTCTTCCATTCTTCTTCTTCCTCTTTGCTTCCTCTGGTTCTTGTCCTTCCCCAGTACCTCTTTCTTCTTCTGCTCCTTCATTTCTTTCTCTTTCTCCTCTCCTTCCTTGCCTCCTTCATCCCCTCTTCACCTCTTTCTCCTCCTTCTCCTCCTGCTTTATTTCCTCCATTTCACATTCACAATCACCAACTTTTCCCTTTCCCAACCTCTTGAGTTGTAATTCACCATTTTCCCCTAGGTGCTCATTTACTCCCATTTCCTGAGGGGTTCCGCGTTCAACGTCCCTTGGCCACCGAAGATATTGTCCCTGCATTAAGCAGCCGAACAATTTCAACATCTAAAAATAAAAAGAGAAATAG